GAGCATCGTCGTTCCTACCTCACGGAATTGTTAGGACAAGACGCAAGGCGCTTTTGGGCGAGATTGAAAGACTTTGGCGCGGACCTCTCCTCTAAAAGCCACCGCTCCAAATCGAAAACAGCGGAAAACAGCCTCTCCGCAGACTCTCTAAACAAGCACTTTGCCAGCGTCGGTGCTCGCGTAGCGGAGGCCGCACACGCCGCTCGCCGCGACCACGGCCTCAGCGCCGAGCCTCGCCCAAATCGAGTATGTGCTACCTCTTTCGTCCCACATTGTGTAACCCTTCCAGAACTTTCGCGCATTATATCTCGGCTCGGAGCGTCACGGGCAGTAGGTTTAGACGGCATACCCCTGCACGCCCTCCGGAGTTGTCTCCCCGTCATAGTCCCCCATATTCTCCACCTTGTCAACACATCCATATCCACCTGTACCTTTCCAGATGCCTGGAAGGTCGCCGTCGTCACTCCCATCCACAAATCAGGAGATCTCAACGACCCAAGCAACTACCGCCCAATATCAATTCTTCCAGCCTTATCAAAGATCCTTGAAAAAGTGGTATGCTCCCAACTCAGTTCGTACCTTATCACAAACCACATCCTCTCACCCTCCCAATACGCTTATCGCCCATCACACTCTACAGAAGATGCCCTCCTCGACATTGTCGGATGGACAGCTGAAAACATTGATGTCGGTCACCTTGTGTCACTAACATCGATCGACTTGAGCAAGGCCTTCGACAGCGTCGAGCACCCGATACTGCTGGACAAGTTAGAGTGGTACGGTGTATCATCCAGCTGGTTCAGCAGCTACCTGTCCGGTCGCTCCCAACTTGTCCGTGGAGGATCCTCAGCGGCTCTCCCTCTCTCACATGGAGTCCCCCAAGGATCTATAGTCGGTCCCATCCTCTTCCTCATCTTTATCAACGACCTACCATCTTTCCTGCCCCATGGTAGACTAGTATCCTACGCAGATGATACCCAAATCCTAGACTCAGCACCTAACAATCCTGACGAACTCCAAGCGCTGAGGTATCGAGCCGCAAATAACGTTGAATGTCTTCAGCAATGGTTTAGTAGAAACAGTCTGAAAATGAACGCAAGCAAAACTTCTTTCATTATCATTGGCACAGTAAATGCAGTTGAAAAAGCATCATCCTTCACGATTCGAATAAATAACGAAGAAATCCGGCCACAAAAACATCTAAAAATCCTGGGCGTTGAATTCGATCAGACACTCACCTGGGAGCGCCACATATCCTCAGTCACCCGGCGTACCAACGCAATAATCATATCTCTTTTCAAAATCCGATCTCACCTCTCAAATGACATCCTCAAAATTCTTGTACAGACCCACGTCCTCCCTCACCTTCAATATTGCTTGTCAGTATGGGGTGGGGCGACACGCACCCGCCTGAACCGACTGCAGGTCATAAATTTTGCCGCCCGACTGGTATTTGGTTTACGCCGAGGCGACCATATATCCCCCGCCCTCGCGACGCTTGGGTGGCCCGATATCGACACGCTAGTGATGCGTCGCGACGCGATAAACATCTACCGCGCTCTACATGACCCCGCAGCCCCCCAGCCGCTCAAAGCCATGGCGCGCCCTCGCCAAACAGTGTGTTCGCATCGAACGCGAGCCACCGCCGCCGGCGCTGCGGTACTCGCGCCCCCTCGCCTCCAGCTGACGACCGCGCGGCGACTTTTTCTCCTTACCGAGCCGCCGTGTCATGGAATAAACTTTCGCGTGTGACTACACTTTCCACGTCACGTCGCCAGCTCATGACCAGGCTGGAACAGTGACAAATACCCTCCTTATCTGCTTGTTTTCAACTCTGTTACTTTCATTACATGTACGTGTGTTTGCAAATGTATGTTGTGCTGTCAATGCATCGCCATGTTAACTGGGCTCGTAATAGCCACCTGTGGAGAGTTTCCAGTAAATACAAATACAAATACAAATTCAAAATAGCCTTGTTATGCAAATACAGAAGCAACGTGAACCAATCCATTCGTCTTTTTTTCCTTCCACCCGTATTTGATTGTATAGAGGATGTACTGAGTACTGGAGCCGGAGCCGGAGTCGGAGCCGCCGGAGCCGGACCATTTTACTCGGAGCCGGAGCCGCCAGACATTTCACCCGGAGCCGGAGCCGATTTTTTTCTCTGGAGCCGGAGCCGGAGCCGTCTGAAATTTCCACGGCTCCGCATCCCTGCCTAAAAGGCATTGTTGTGACGTAAAATGTCTCCTGGTGCTCACCATAACACACTCCGTCCAACAGAAAGGTTGCGAAGAAGATCCGTCCCCCTGTGTATGGTTTGTTAGCCTCCAACACTGAACTGCCTATGCCCCAACGGTCTTCTACTGTTTTTTTTTCGTGACATGCGTGTTTTCTTCTTATTTCAGATCCTGGAGGTGTTGAAGATTGAGGACCCTGGCGCCAAGTCCTGGCTGGAGCGGCGGCTGCCGAGGCTCCATCTCCTCTTGGGAGACTCCGTGGCCCGCGAGGGCTTGTCAGCCGACTCAGGGGCGACTCGTTCCTCTCTCGCGCCCGCGGCGGAGCAACCTGGAAGTCGCTGAACCGGGCTATAACGGGCCTCCTCCAAGAGTGGACGGCGGAGGCGGAGAGGCTCGGCAGGGCCCGTGGCGCCGCCGTCCTCTAGATGTCTGGCAACGACGTTTATAGCAGGGCTACGGGTCTCCCGAGCTACAGCTCGGGACGTCTCCGAGAACGCCAGAGATATTGTATTGTATTTACATTTAAGAGCGATCCACAATCAACATGCGTGGCGATTACTGCTCAGATGTAGTGCAGGCGCTGCGAGGTGAAACGGGGGAGATAGTCGTGCTCGGTCCGCTCCCCCGACTGGATGGGGAGATCACGGGGACCCGGTGGGAGCAGACGGCTGCCTTCCACCTTGAGCGACGTCTGCTCCACCAGCCGCCGCGTGGGACCCGCTTCGTGCCGCTGGGCCGACAGCTCCAGAAGAGCAGTGGCAGGTACTCATGCATACCGGCCTGCCGGTGCTGGTACCGAGAGGACGGGATTCACCTATCGCCGGCCGGGTACGCCAAGCTGGCGGACGCCGCTGAGCTGCCGGTGTGGCTGCGGATGACGGCAGTCGAGTGAAGGACGGTAATGAACAATGGCGATGGTGATGCCAGCAAGTCGAGAGCTGGCGATGGCGGTGAGTGATCGCTATCGAGCGCGAAGCGTTTCTTTCTTTTGCTGTGCTTCCAGTGCTTGTATACGTTGGTAGTGTTTGATGCGTCGTGTGAGCGTTTGAAATGTGTCTGCCAGCCACATTTGGTGGGGAGAATGTTACATTTAAGCCAAGTATTATTTGTATCGGTGATATTGCGCCGCTGACCCGTGCCGGCGCGCCGCGGTGCCGCCGCGGCGACCGGAGATCGGTTTGAGATTTAAACAACGGTATAATTACGAGACTCCAAGAGTGGAATAACAGATGGCTCCTCAAATTTAATGTAAAGAAATCTATGAAGCTGACTAAATGTCGGCAAAAAAATCCGAAATAAACGTAGAGAATACGAGGACCTAAAGCTACACTCGGACCAACTCAGGCCCGTTATCTCTCGGAGGAGCAGCAGCCCATGGTCGCGGATCCGCTCAAGTACTGGGCTGGCCGGAAGGCGGTCTTCCCGCAACTCGAGGCGGCGGCGATGACCCACGTCGCCATCACGGCCAGTCCCGGCCCGAGCGAGAGAATGTTCTCTGTGTCGGGAAATCTCTTCTCTCGCCGGCACGTACCCGGCTGCGAGCGGACATCGTAGAAGGGCTGACGCACGTCAAGTGCCAGCCGTGAGCAGACTGCTCATTGTCACGATTGTCGGGGTGAACACTGGATTCACCTGAGAAGACGGGCTCCTCTTCGGGCGAATTTTCCACGATATTTAGCTATGAACAGCACATGCTTCCATCACGACTGGCACTTCGAGTTGACTCAGACGGAGTTAAGCTGAGAGAGCGCACTTTTTATTGAGCTGTCACAAGTCTGAACTTAATCATATGGTCCGTAACTCTCACTTGACAGACATTTGTCGAAACAATTAACTGCCTCCAAATAGCCTAAAACTGTCACAAAATTTTAGGGAAAGGAGAACCATGAGTTGTGTACCAAAAATTATTAATATCATGGCTATCACAAAAATTGCATTGCGGTTGATGGAATTCTGATAGTTTTCATTTTAAACTTGGCGCACTGAAACTAACCTTATCTTATATCTAAGCTTACCCAGCCTAATAAAACCTAACACAAAGCTTTAATGCTTGCAACGTGATTTCTTTTTGTCACACGATTATGCAACACCTGGCTGTGCAGAAATGTAAACTAAGAAGCCAGAAGGTATGCATGTTAAACTGAGCTTGTCGGCAGTGCGTGCTCTAGTGTCATTTAGGGTACAAATACTAAACGTATTTGGGTCTTGTAGTACCTACTTCCAGTCTGCAATGGGTGTTTTTCCCTTTAATATTTTTATATTTAAAATTCCTGCAGTTCCCAGCGTAGGTTAAAGACAGGCGAACTGCAGCAAATGCCTTAGTCATTTTCGTAACATTATTTTCAGGGATTTAAAATGTGACTGCCCGTAAAAAGGGCTCTATAGATGTGTCAGGAAATTAGTGATGTAGACTTGCATCTATTATTATGAAGCACATACATGGATTTGAAGAAATTTCATATATTTTGAAATATAGGCATCAATTTGTCTGCAGATTTTGTGATGTCGTATTCACAGTCACTAAGTTATGCTTTGTGATTTGTTAACCCATAAAAGCGTCCAACCACTCAGTGTTCCCAGCCGAGTTGGTGACACTATTTTCGTTTATTCTCTTCAGGCCATGGAGATTCTAGATGAATCAGGAAATATCCTTGAGGTAGTGTTTGCAAGCACCTCTGAAAGTGATGATCCGCTGGCAGTGTCAGCTGCTTCCCAGGCGTCACCAGCTGATCCTGCGGATGCTACAGCCTGCAGCTGCTCTGGCCACTCCTGTGACACCGGCTGACCCTCCACCCAACCCCGGTACCAAGCGGACAGGAGGGAAGCGTTTGGGAGCTCACAGCAAGACCTACATTACTGACACTGGTCAGCGTAGTACAGACCGTAGTACTTAGCGTGGAACTAGTGAATAATGCAGGGGCACTAACATCAGTCTTCGGACATTAGCCCAAGCGATTGGAAGACTATTCAATATCTATGCGTATTGGAGATGCAAAGGGAAACCACACAACACTGGCAAATGCCTAGTACCCGCATCAAAACACGGCAATTATTTACAATATGCAATATTCCCCTGTGTGTCTCTACCAGACACTGGTTCTCGGTTTCCAAGTGGACACATAAGCAGAGATGTCCTCCTTTACTTCCATTTCCATAAACACCGAACGCTAATACCCGGCATCGTCAGGTAGTCATGAGCTGAAACGTGACCCAGGAGGATCACCCATTGTACAGCATGCAGCCTCTTCAGTCTGCTGACTCCCCCTGGACACTGCACCCACCCTAGACCCTGTCATGTCAGACGGGGCAACATTGTCTAACGGGCATACACATGCGTTATCCCCAAGTTAACTTGCCTTTATGTATGCAAGGTGTGAGCTGCAGCTGTGATTTTCACAGGGACATGGTGGTCCTGAGTCCAGGCAAAATCTTGGCCAGATTTGCCTTAGTTCACCTGTAATTGCAAGGATATGTATTGTTAGGTGTGTGTTAGGGTGTATCAAGATTGTGCAATAAGCTCTGAAAACAAAAGGCTAGTTCCATAATGCCAAATATAGTAGAGTAAACACTTAACACTCAACAGTCAACAAGCAGCTGGTGATTTCCTCCTTTGGCACCTTAAAAAAAAAATAAAGAAAGAAATTCACAAAACAGCAAAATGACTGAAAAAAACATCCTTTTAGGGTTGAAAAGCGAGAGCACACATCGATACCTACAGCCGTTTTCAGCTTTTTATACATAACACAACTTACACCCAACCACACCTTGATTCATGTAACATTATGTTATATCTTTAGGGAACATCTAGAACAGGTTAGATTACATTTTGTTATTTATGCTTGTAGTAGTGCACCTATTTTTTTAGAGTTATCCCGCGCCCCGTAGGGCTATCGGCGGACCCTACCACCCGTAGGGGGGGGGGGCGTTTCGCCCCCCCCCCCCTCATCTCGGAAATTTACCGACCGATTTTCAAAATTCAAACGGCGTTTGATAGCCCCACCGGGGAACTACCTTGTGACCAAATTTCATTGACCTAAATCAAACCGATGACGTCACAGGTCAGGTCAAAGGTCGGATTTTCACCGTTCACAGGCATTTCAAGAAATGTGTCGTGAAATCGAGTACCTAAATTGGTAAGTTATTGAAAACCATCGATGGTACATTGTTCATCAAACACATACTTTGCTATCTGCGGTCACTGATACCAAGTCAGGTCACAGAGGTCAGGTCACGGGGGTCACAATATGAAAGTGTCGTGTGATACATGTTTTATGGTCCATTTTACATGACTAATACGATTATGTGGGTCAGGCAGCCTTTGGGGCCAGCTTAGGTCACGTTTTGGTGAAGATCAGGTCAAGATCAGGTCAAATTAGGTCAAATTTCAAAGTTGATATTTTTGCATAAAAATGCGTATCGATTCGATGCAGCTTGTCACGGGGAGTCTAATGGTGGTCTATGTTTTGCCCTACGTGGTCTAGAATTGCCAAAAATTGAGTTCAAAAATTTGACTTCATCATTTTTGTAGGTTTTTTTTTTTTTTTTTGCTATAACTTGGCCAGAAAAACGAGATATCAATCTGAAATTTGGTATGAAGATGGAAGACGGTAGGTACTATCACATATATTCCGTTTTTTCTCAATTCAAAACACTTAGGGTTTTTCGGCTAATATATCCAAAAAATTTTGATTTTCTTTTATGATTTTTGGGTGTCAAAACTCAAAAACTTCAAAAATACGAGACAGCAATTTTGTAGCCCTACCAATTCTACACCTTTTATGTCCTGATCATTTTTCTGTATCTTCAAAGCTGTAGGCCTGACAGCTCTTCTCGCGAATGTCTTTTTTTCGGTCGAAAATGGCAGAACATGACGTCATTTGCGGCCAACCTATCATAGCCTCTGCAATTTTTTTGTCACAATGCGTAAAGTTAATGACCGGAGGGGTCCTGAAGGTTTGGTGGCGATATCTCCAGCCGTTTAGGAGATATCGACGGAAAAGGACAGGGAGGGTGTTTCGCCCCCCCCCCCCCCTTTCGGGGCGCGACTGTATGAACAATTTTTGGTACTCATTAGCAAGGCATCACAATTCTGAGTAAACGGCAGGATGTCTGGTAACGGGCTGTGGCCTTGAGACGACCGTCAGTTTATTAAGTCACAAAGCCCTCAGCAGACTGTGTGGTAGGTTTTCTTTTTTCGACAAAACCGATAATAGCTCAAAGGCTAAGTTATCAGTCGGTCGGAACTCACTGCAAATAGATGTGCCATGCTCGAGTCCTTCGAATGGGTCTATCATTAAACAAAGTATACGGCTTGTGTGGCAGCAAAATGCAAAAGTTTGTTTTGGGGGCAAATATATACTTATGGGTTTATTGCCAAACTTGATGGAAAATGAACACAATAATAATGCCAATCTAAGGTGCGGAGTCTCGCGCGTCTTGCTGTTACGATTTTTGAGTGACAGATAGCATAGTAGGTATTTGTGTTAGGTATTCTCGGTTTTGTCGAAAAAAGAATACCTACCACGCAGTTTACAGAGGGGCGAGGGCTGTACCATGGTCATTCGCAGATTTCCTGCAAAACCCACAATCTCGCAGTTCATGCACATAATTTCTTGGACAATCACGTTTAGTGTAGCTCGGCCTTAATAAACTCGGTTACCGTAAAACGGGGCTATAAGGGACAGGTTTTGACTTTGACAACCTGTCATTCAAAGGTTATTGCTTACACAGGCTTCAAACTTTGTCACTTTTCAGGTCTTGACTAGGTCTGTCTTTTGGCATAATATGCATTTTATTGGTATCATAGATGTATGATTTTTTTTTGTTGCTTGTCCCTTATAGCCCCGCACCGGGGTTTTAAGGGACGAGCACTGTTATGGCCTTTTAAACTCTAGTAGCACCATCAAATGGGCTTTTAGGGACACAGACTATGTTTTTAAAAATGTTTACTGCTTTCCTGTGCAAAATATTTGTTTTTTAAGTACACATACAATGGATTGGCATCCATCAAAGTTTCCAATGGAGGACGGAAAAGGTAACTTCCTTTTTCAACATAAATACCATAAAGGAAACTCAAATATGGAAACATAATAATGTGTTATTATCAAAACACAAATGATATGAGTACAACCACTTGATAATGAGGCATTCTCCTGCCATTCTGAACTCCAGAACACCATCCACCAGAAGACTGCAGAGAGTCTCTGGCAGCTCCTTGGAGCTGGAGGTGTTTGATATCAGCTCACTCATTGTATTCCTTGACCTCTTTGATTTCCATGATTCCCCTGGTGAGGTATTTGGGTTCTTGGATCTTTTGCACAATGTCTGAGAAGGGGTACACCACAGGACATCCTCTGTCCTCTCCAAGGAATGTGGGATGGCCCGGTTTTCAGGTAGCAGGTGCCTTATTGTGCCTACATGACACTTTTTGGGATCCCAAAATTCTGCTCAGCTACCCTGAAAGGCATCCCTCTGTTCACTGCATCCACAGCTTTCATGATTACATCTTTCGAATATGTTTTCCTTGTTTTAACTCCTCGCTTTGACTGGTAATGACGGTGTCCCTTAAAGCCCCGTTTTGACATCAAAATCTACCTGAAACAGAAAAAAGCGGAAATGAGGATGAGGCAAGGAGGGTACATGGATGTAATTTCATGGGCATCTTCAGGATACATGTGGTCATTGACTATACCTTTGTGAAGGTCCCAGAGTCCGTGGTTGTGTCCACAAGCAAAGTTTTCGGGGTTACAATTTTGTTGCGAATTTGGCACTTTTTTCAAAAGCTCATAGCATGAGAACAACAACAAGCATCTTGGAAATGGTGATGTGGCATGCATGTCCAGACATCAGTGTTTCATATTATATATCTATTTCCTTTTGTTTCTCGTTCACTGTATTACCCAGATCCCTCAAAACTTTTTCCCGAAATTTGTCCCCTATAACCCCACTGTCCCTTATAGCCCCGTTTTACGGTATGATAAAGATGATGATGACTTGTGCCTTACTTCAAGCAATCAGACACAGACAGGCTTTAAAACATTAGCGTCGCCACGGGGGGGCAAGCGGGGCAGCTTGCCCCCCCCCCCCAACCTCGGACCGGACACCCCCTGAGATCGATACAGATCCGATGAGATTTTGGAGTCGGGGAAAAATGGGGGTACCTTTCTGAGAATGCCTGTGAGGTCAGACTCTGTTGGAGCGTGCAGTTCAAACCAAAGTCAGAGTCGCAGTCGCCAAAATCTTCAAGACTCCGACTCCAGACTCGGAAATGTCAATGCCATGATTCATGCCATGTTTCTAGTTGGTTCTTTATTACATTTTGTAGCTGATTTTCATAAATTTTGGAGTGCTGACACATAATTTTCGTTCAAAGCGTGACACGAAATCTTCGGGGCCTTTCTCAACTCTCGTCAAATGTCTGCGACAGGCACAAGTACCGTTCAAGTGCCGCAGGGCTCATGAGCCTGCTTTTCACACAGGCTCCTAAGGAGCTCCACTGAGCTCTAAGACGCCTTCGGAGGGCCCAAACCGGCCTCTGAGAGTCCCACTGGTGTCCATGTTCTCTAGAGGGCCCATACAGGGATCTTTGAGGACATTATACATACGTAGACCTCTGAAGGGCCACACGAATCTTTGAGGATGCCTTCGAAAATTTCTGAAAACCTCAACTGGCCTATGATAGTTCAGCCGAACTTTTGAGGCGACAGACTTTACTTACCCCAACCCGGCATCTGAGGGGTCACAACTCACCGTGTCCCTCTGAGGGCCGCAACACATGTTTCTTATGTCCCTACCAACGTAGGGTCCTTAAGGATTCGACACAGACCCCGACGGTTCACATTGTTATTCGAGGGCTCCAGGCTCACCCTGGGCCTAGTCTCTTAGCGCCCGCCGCCCACACTGGCTTCTGAAAGTTTGTGTGCCCTAAAGGGCTTTCCGGGCCCACCTTAGGCTCGGAAAACCCTAAAGCACCACATACACGTAAATACTTGGGGTGACCCACGCCGACCTCCGGGATCCTAAGCAGGCTTCTGAGAGTCCACACTGACCCTGAGTGGCCTGAAATGGCCTGGAAGTCGCAATCCTATCTCTAAGGGATTCCTTGCCGCTATGCCGTGCGTAACTTTTGGTTACGTTAAATATTTTTGGTCGCGTTAACAGCGCTTCCCTTCACTCGAAAAACCAGAAACTTTTTGTTCACACTCGAGTGAACAAAACACTTCTTCTCACTGCAGCAAGGATGAATGATGTACCTACTTCCGATTCACACTTCCGACATTCTCTCTCAGTCTCCGCCGAATGCCCAATTCTTAGCTACAATCGGCGGCTGGGATAAGCCCTATGCATTTCACGTAAAACCTCGGCATGCATGCGTGAATGGAAGTTTTAGCGAGGTGACCCGATTCAAATGGAGCGTTTTTCACCTTCTTTTGGGTAATGATCATGAGCGACGAGAGTCTGCACAGGGGCCCTCTGCAGTGCGTCGGCAATCGCAGCCACTGTAATTCTGACGGTCGTTTTTGTCCAAAAATTTCAAAATTTTGATTTTTTTGTAAAAAAAAAATACATGCTATAGCTTCAAGGAAAACTTTGTCACCACCGGATTCCTCGCACCATTGCGCGTCGAATGAAATGTAAAACGAGTGAGTAACGGCTGGGGAAAGGCAAGATTTAACACAAAACTTGATTTTGCCCCCCCAACCGAAAATGTCTGGCGACGCCTATGCTTTAAAAAAATCGGACTAGCCTCATTAACGAATACCCAAAGCCATAAAACTCCATGAATATGATAAAATTGCGTTCAATCAACACTTACCAGGAGCACGACTACATAGACGAGCGTGACGCGTGCTGGTGCCGGATTCGCACTCGCTAGCCTGAAACTCGCAATTCTACTTGGCCGTGAATTTAAAAATGGCAAGTTAAATAAAACCATCTTTCGGTTGCCTAAATATAGCACAATTGCAACGCAACTAAGTGGGCGCAAAATCGGATTAAAATAATAAGAGCACGTGAGAACCCCATCCAACCCCACGTGCCGCAACGTAAACGCAAGGCTATATAAACCAGGTCAGTAGGTGGAACTATGGTCATGAGTACCCAAATATAGGAACGTTCCCATTTTTGGGAACGGAGTTCCCAAATATGGGAACGGGCGTTCCCATTTATGAGAACGGAAGGTAATTTTTCGGCCGTTCGCCCACTAAAACTCATTAGTGCATCACGTCTCAAAAAAGTGCACGCTAATTTAAGTATCTACTAAATCTCTATAAAATTATCTTTAATCTGACCGTTGAACAAGGAAATTGACCGTCGAATGATATTTTTAATGATTTTTTGAAATGGCGGAATGGTGAAAACATGGGTTATACTACATTTAACATGCAATTTAAAGGAAAATGAAGCGTTTTTACATTTTGAGGTCAAGTATAATAATTTTCGCCTGGTTATGAAGTTTCGTACTAGCGACACCAGATGCTGACATATGGAAGCGAACACGCGGACAGTCCTGAGGTAATATTGTTGACTTTTGGTGTCGAGGCGCACGACCGCGTGGAACGTCAGTGATTTTACCGAACTACTGTTGTAAACTCAGTTTCAGTGGTTTGAAATTATTCAGCTGTATTTTATCAGTCCGGAAAGACATATTTTATTTGGATGCTAGCTGTTTAGCGTTGTTTTATAAGGAGCGTCATGAGCGGGGTTTTTGTCTTCCGTGTTCCGAAGCATGATCGTTTTGGGGGAATTTCTCTTATATAGGTCGCTCTGTGTGGCTTATTTATAATTTTTATGCTGATTTCGATAATTCCTCGTGCCCATCCTACCAGGCCTTTTGCCACTTACACTCATTAAGAAAGGAAAAAACTAGATTTTCCATGGGACTAGGTGTTTTGCGGGTGTAACATATTCAGCGTTCCCATTTTTGGATACTTCCTTGTGCTCGTCAACTATCGGTGATAAACAGACAGGTGCTTGACATGTCTCCACCCTCGGCGCGGACGGTGGATATAGGTATGGAAGACCTTGTTGAACATCGCTGAGCGTTGTGAATTACGTAATCCTGCAGAGGGGGGCGTGCCCGCTGCGAGATCGACGGGAATAAAAGCGCAGAAGACCGGGCGAAACATGCGACGGTCTTGCCGGAAAGGTCATCTGATGATTGTTACGTTAACAATAATTTGCGGCGTTGGACGTGATGCTTGTTAATGAAAAGAGCCCCTGAAAGGCGTCGGTGAAATCGTTCCCAATTTTGGGTACGCCGTTCCCATAATAAGGAACGCTTGCAGCGCCAGTGTACGAGAGCGTTCCCAAATTTGGGCTCGCGGCCCGGATGATGGACTGCTTTAGAAATAGGGGAACGATTTGAAACTACGATGGGCCTTACAATATCAAACTCTTTCCCAACAATATTGAGACAAATATCAGGCGGTTCACGATCGTTTTATATTTTTTGGACGTCATTTAACGGTTCTTTTCCTTGTTTTAAATAATTCCTACATGGCGTTCCCATATTTGGGTTTATCGTTCCCAAAGATGGGAACGAAAATGCGTTCCCGAAAATGGGTACGCTTGACCACAGTTCCGCCTACTGAGGTAGAACGCTCCCGACGAAAAAGTGGTGACAAGCGATAATTAGTAGCCGCGACCCTCTTTTGTTCAAAACTATATCCGCAAGCAGCATTTACAGGCTAGCGGAAATCGACCAATCGGCGTTCGGCAATACTCAACGCTGATTGGCCCGATGCTCGTGACGAAATTGCGGGGGACTGCAGCTATTCCCCTATGGCGTTTAATAGACTTACGGCTTTTGAAGGAGATTTATACCAGTTTTTGTTGGGTTTGAGGCCATTTTTGAGCTTGGATATTCTTTCTGTGACTTTTGACTGTGTAATAACGACATTTAATCATAACATTTCTATATACTACCGGTGTCACATCGACCAAAAAGACCGTAAGTACATGGGATAGACGGACCACTGCTGATGGGGCCACACATGCCGGCGTGTGGTCATCGAAGGCCCATGAGGGCTCGACATAGGCCCTTCATGGGTCGGTATAGGCCCGGTGGGTCCAGTGCAAGCCTATCAGGGGCTGGTGCTGACCCAACAGGGCCCAGTGACATATAATGTAAGGCCGTCTAGGGACGTTGAGGGCTCATGGGGGCCATATAGGACCAATAGGGACCACATAAGCCAATCAGGGGCCATTTAGGCCAATAAAGGCACTTCAAGGGACTTGAAAAGGTCATTCAAGAGCTGTGGTGGGCCCATGAGAGGACGGCACTGGTCCAGCAGGTGCAGTCAGGGGATGTTGTACGGGTTTCTCAGTGGCCCATTTGGGCATATCAGTGACCAATTTAGACCCGGCAGGGGGCTTTGTAGACCTATCAGGGGCTGGTGATGGTTCGTCAGGGGCCAGCGTTAGTCCATCGGGGCACGGCATATGCCCATCAGAGGTAATTGCGGGCCCACGCTGAACAATGATGGCCCTTCAACGGCCCCATGGATCTACATTGACCCATGGGCCATGATGTGTCATGTATGCCCCTATGACAGGCCTACTCAGACCCCTGATGGACGTTCCCGGCCTCTGATGACCCTATACTGAATGCTGATGGGGCTCTAAGAGTCTCCAATAACCCTTCGTCAACCCATTATTACCATACGCTGGCACTAGGGACCCCACATCAGCCGCAGGGCAGTCCGTACCATGACAGCATGTCTTTTCGGCTGATATTTCATCGGTAATATTTATCAAAATCATGATTTTATGGTGCCATTATATAGGTAACAGTCATAAGAAATATATTTCAACTCGAAAACAGCTCGAAACAGCATATAATTTTAAAGAAACCCCTCCGAAATCCAAAAGCCTATTCGCGTCCATAGAGAATAACTGCGGTCCCCCGCAATTTCGTCACGAGCGTCGGACCAATCAGCGTCGAGTACCGCCGAGCGCTGATTGGTGAATTTTCCGCTAGCGTGTAAGTACTGCTCACGGAACAAGAGTTCGTCGACAATCCTCCACAAACGTCTGTCACCATTTTTCATAATGCTAAACAGCCGGAGCGTACCCCCCTGCGTAAACGTAAAGAACGCGCTCAACGCGCAGTAACGCGCTCATCGGTTTGGGCGCGAAGAACAAGGTCAAGGTAAATTCAAATCATCATCGTTCATGGCCATGGAGTATTTCATTTTTACTGTGTGACGTCACTGGAGTCATTTGGCAACTTTTTCAACGGTTCAAGAAAACCGCTATGGCCATTATCCAACCATTAGAATTTAGAACCCTGTCAATAGGATCATTTCATGAAATTTGTCTTTATGTCTTTATAACTATAGGTAATGAGAATGACGCTCGTGTCCCGAGTCCAATGTTTTAGCTAAGGGATTGGCTATGATACTGAAATCCGCTGGGAGAGAAGAAATAAGCATGGTCCAGTGGAAAAATGGTAAGAGGTCAGGACTCAAGTTGGTCAGGTTGGGTAGTGTAAGGTCAGTTTAGGCTGTTGTTTTCACTAGGGCCATGCTCTTGTCATACTGGATTTCAACAGACTGGCGAAGCTACCAGCGGACCCAGTCTAACTAGGTACCATAATTTCAAATGAACCCAGAGCTGAAAGAAAGAAATGACTACGAAATCTTACTGCCGTGTGTTGTCTCCGTCGTCCCCTACTACAACGGTGTCGTCGAAAGTTTATTTAATTAAGAGGCTGGTGGTCTCTCGCCCTCGTCCTCCCACCAGGAAGGCATTTGGGATTTTAGGAAGCCCAGACTTCAAAAGGTCATCGGTGGCCATAGATCCGAGTCGGTAGCCTATCTCAGTCCCTCGAGTTTGTAATGTTTGCTCCGCGGACTGCATTGAAACATACGCCGTTTTCGTCAACTTATACAGTATAAAAACATGTATTTCATCAAATCACACATGACAGCACATTCTAGCTCTCAAATTACGATGTCATTTACATTACATCTTGCCTGATATTGTCTTGCGTTTTAAACTAAAACTGTTTCAAAGTGTAATCACATCAAAGTGTTATAACAAAGTGTGGCATCGTGGTGTTATTTATAAATTTATTACATTATGACCAAATGATTTGCCAAAGAAATAATGGCAAACAGAACTAGCCGAGAGCACCCATCCTTAGTAGCCAAAAAATACGACGAAAGAGCAACCAATGTCAACAGGTCACAGTCCTATTACTCTCCCGAAGAGGAAGTTGACTGTGGCTCTTCGGCAGCAATCTCCTCGTCGCCTTCCGCTTGCGGCACGATTCGCTCCGACCTCAGGTTGACAGCGTGATCCACAAGTCGCACGCGCTGCTCCTCGGTGCGGCCCTCGAAGCGCACGATGCCGCCACGCTCCAGCATCGACAGATGCTCGGGAAGCATATCGTCGGTAACGGGCACGTACGGATCGTGCGGAGCATCCTGGAACTGGGTGAGCAGCACGTCCATGAGCCTGGCGATGGACAGGAAGCCGTCCTGGCTGTAGATGGAGCGCAGCACGTGGTTGAGCTCGCGCCGCAGCGCGGTGAAGAGCCGGCGCTGCTCGTGGTGGCGATCCTTGATCCTCTGGCGCAGTGCGGCCGTGTCTGAGCCGACGCGCCGGCGCGCGGCCGTCACGCGCTGCAGTGTGTCGGCGTGCTGCTCCAGCTCAGCATTTACCTGCTCGGCAGTGGCGATGCGGGCGCGCAGCTGCTCCTCCAGCTCGGCATCCAACACTGCCTGCTGCTGACTCCAGTCAAGGAAGGCGGATACTGGATCCTCCTCGGCTGCCCCCTCCTCTTGTTCTTCCTGATGCTGTGGGTCACTGCTAGCAGCTGCACCGCCCAAAGATGATACATGGTTGTTCTTCAGCTGCTCCCTCAGCTGCTGCAGTTCCATTTCCAGCTTGGAGATCACAGCATCTAGTTCCTCCTCTTCACCCATTATGGCAGATGTGGAAACTGCAAACAAAGGTAAGTGTTTGGTCTACACAATTTATCAACTTTCAGCACAGTGCTCTTCCATCAAAAACAAAATACATTTGTAAGGTATTCTCATCTAGTGGTAGTAAATTGATGCTTAAATGTGGTTTAATACCACAACTCACTTTAAGCATTTGATATAGTACCTAACTACCTACCTACCTAATTTCTGATGCAGAGAAAAAAGCACTTTACTCAAGCATCAATAAGTAGGTGCCCAAACCTATACTGATACCTAATTAATAAAATTCACAGCTCCTTGCCATTAGCTGACAACAGCCAGCAGAAAAAAAATCATTTAGATTAAGAATTCAGATGCATGTATCAGTATTCCTGATAAATCAAAATGCACATAAAAACAGGAAATACTTGAATCAGAATGGTACATGATTGAAAAAAAACATCCTGTGACCTGTACTCTGTTCCTAGTTGTGTCAAAATGTTGATGTACTTCAATAGGTAAGGTTAGCTCAGGTTAGATTGTTTTTTAGCTTCACCGTACCACGTACGACATACTTCATCTGCAAATTTACCAAGTTTTCATCACATAAACTAGTTCTAATAAATACTTTGTTCTTTTTGTGAGAAATGTGGATAGCTAACAAATAGGTAGCACCTTACAACAACAATTTGAACCGACCACTGGCACTGTGTGCCTATTGGCTGTACCAATACCCTTGGTTTTTACCACAGTGTATATGTTTTTACTTGGTTATTACCTTGGTACCTACGTCAGTTCAAGTTTCAGTTTGAGTTGTCATTCACGTGCCTAGTTTGCCCAACTGAAGTTCCACTCCATTTTGATTTACATTTTCATTGCAAATGATGTGAACCACTTACCTCGATTTAAAATGAGGTCTTCAGCACGATAAAACCACAGGGTTGTAGGAGATGGTTTCAAAAACTCCCGTCAAAATAACTTATCATCTATACTGTGTACAAACGCTGGATTCAAATTTACAAACAAATCCGCTCCAAATCAAAATATTGCGCGTCCTCCGTAATGCGCGCACATGCGCCAAATTTGAATGCAAGTGCTGCTTCCATATGACGGCCGATTCCTTCATTTGAGGCACTTCCCTTTCCAACCGAGTGGAAAGTGACCGTTTCAATCCGTTTAATCTTGGTTTCAATGCCATCTGATTGAGGTTGTCGTTTTTGCGGGTGACAAGGCAAGCTGTGACTTATTTGTGTGTCGAATGAGCACGAAGAGGAACGTCACGGCAACACCACCTATGCTAAACTTTGTGACCGATAGCGGAGTCGCGTCACTTCGACTAAGTGGCCAGTCGATATTTTACTACGTTCAACAGTCCAAACTCAGCTCTACGTTTTGTGACATTCCCGGGTGATTCCACAAGTGTGCACTACTCCCGTTGGGAGAATGGACAAGGATTCAGAAAGGCTCATCTTCTGAACGCGCGAACAAGGTTGCTATGCAATGAGCCTCAGCCATCATTGGAAAACCGACACTACTTTTCAGCAGCCCGTTCACGATCAGCCGCCAACGAGCGCGACTGCCAGCAGTGCAGTGACCTGTCCTGCCCAGCGCGGCGGTGCTCTGCCTGGGGTTTCGAAACGGTCCCGGACCCCCCGACATGCCAGCGAATGAGCCGCTCGGGTGCCCGTGCTTGACTGCCGCACGAGGAGATTTCACCTACCCGACTACACCCGACGGGACTGTCACTGTGGCGGTCCTGATCCGCGGCTACCTCAGACATCAAGAGCCGTTAGGCTGCCTTCGATGACAACAGCAATCTGTCGTAACTCGGCTTGGACAGCACAACGCTGTAACCAGTCACTACATCGTCCGGGCATGAAGCGGTCACCGTCCGGCCGAGGCTGCAACATTGGGTGCAGTGATTTCACACTTTTGTATTAAAACGTGATCAATGGTCAAAATCAGCCTCAGACATACCAAACTGATTGCGGTAAATCAATAATCGCATTGAAACAACAGCGCTCATGACAAATCCAGTTCCCACATCAAAGTTGGATTGCCAGTAATCGAAAGAAAGCTAGAAATAACAGCACATAATCTAAAATACAATTACTCAGTTTATTGAATGCATGATTCACACCACAAAACGACAAATATGGAAACCCCCGTTTCATTAATATACAACATCGCTTTGTACTTGAGGCCAAGCCATTAGCACTTATAAAATGTTACCTACGCAGCCAGGTCCCGGGCGGCGCGCGCTGTGGAGAGCTATTCACGCTAAAAGTGGGACCGGCCGACCGCCCCCGGCGCCGCCGCATCTCCGGTCCGGCGGGGCGTGCTGTCACTCGGAAAAGGCACCCGCACATGGCCGCGGGGCGGGCGCGCCAGCCGCCGCGACACCAGCCCGGCAGCTGATAGGTTAAGAATGCCGATGCTCTCTAAAAAGGGACGACTCGTGGACCACCCGAGGCACCGTTGCCTGACCTCACAAAGCAGCAACGCCTTCACAAAACACATAAACCCAACGTGCAAAAGAAGTCATAAAACCGCACGACTTAAAACCAGCGTTGCTGTGGCGAGTGGCTACCACTGCCGCGCCACCAGCCCACCAGATCACCATAATACCAACCAGCTAGGGGTCACACTAGACACATCATAAAGCCTCTCTCACACGCTACACCCACCCGTGCCCTCACTCAGTCCGCTGTGTTACACACACACTCGGTGAGACTATCCCACACCGGACGCGCCCTCTCGCCATGTGCGCTCAGTGCCGGCCGGGTGAGGGCGCCGGCGGCCGGCGGCCCGGTCGGCTGTTCCACCGCTGTGTCAGTCCCGTCTGCACGTGCTGCAGATGCACCTGCACCTGGTCCTGGAAGTCCGCCAGGTGCTCGGGTCGCAGCGACTCGCGGATCTCGCGCATCGTCTCCTCCAGAGAGCTCAGTTCGAACGGGTTCATCTCGGCGTCGGCGAAATTCTGCAGGTGGGGACGTGAGAATGGCACAGTTAGTATCGAGTGGTTGCGGTAAATCAGGTCAAATCGAGCGGAAACAGCAAAACAACCCTATCACTAACCAGTCAATGCCTAAATGCCACTAACCAAAAGGAGGAGCATTAAAATTTTAGTAAGATTACAAATTTGGTCTGAAGAGAAACACCGATACTTAAGTGACATTGATACCAGCTCAATAGAAACTCGGGAGCAGGGGATCCGATAAAATCCAGTCTCATCTATCATAGAAAGACTAAACCGCCAGCATAACAATGGCTGTCAATCAACCACGACTAACCCAGTCATTATCAGCTAATCACGGGATCACCGTGCCGTGCGCGACAGACTCAACAAAGCCCCACCTATCACTACGCGCGACCGACTCCCGCCCTACTGACTAACCTTGACCTGGAGCAGGAGCGAGGTGAGTCTTGTGATGAGCTGGAGCACGTCCGAGTCGCTGGAGACCGGCTGGGCGCGCTGGGAGCGGCCGGTGAGCGCCGCGGACACCTGTCTGCCGGCCTCCTCGTCACAGAGCGTCTTCATGTGTGTGGGCAGCACGGCCGGCAACAGGCCGTTCTCCGGCATCAGCTGGTGGCGGGGGGGGGGAGGATGTTAGTCACTACAGAGTACAGATGGCAGTTACGTCGCACGCAAGCACGGCTTACTGTTGTGGGCAGCTGGCAAACGTCGCACACTAAACGGCCGTAAGGGACAAGCGCGCGCTCCAGTTATTCGCTATTCAAAGCATGATCAAAAATATCCATGAAAATCCAGATAATCCTATCCTAAAAAAGCAAAAAAAAGGTAAATAAGCAAAATCACCCAACGTTCCATTGTATCACGTTTTTTGCTCTCGGTATCACATGCGCAACATATAGGGGAGAGTGGGGCACATTCGTGCAAAAAATGGATAAACCCATATATCTGTTCTTTGGTTAGTGCAATGGCAAAATTGTTGATTGTAGTATGGAAAGGAACTATTGCAGATAGTTTTCCTCTTTAAAAGTTATCCTATAAAATTATTGCTTCCATTAGAAAAAAATGACTTTTATTAACTCTGAACATTTGCACGAAACTGCCCCACCTATGGGGCACATTCGTTCAAGAGATGGGGCACTTCCGTTCACCCGGCAAAATTCGAGAAATTACCGGGCATTACCAGAAATTTACCAAAGGAAATTGGCAGGGGGTCATTTCACTTGATTCCTTTCGACAAGAATGCATTGCACAACAAATGTAGAAAGAATGGGCTGGCCAACAAGAATGTGCCAACTGCCGGCCTCCGTGACCTCGCCAAGTTCGCGTGAATTGCTCGTCACGACGTCGCAAGCAGTCGAGACTGAGTCAGGCGAGCGTCATTAGAGAAACCTACTACAGATAAAGTCATAAATCGCAAAAACTAAAAAAAAAATATGCACGAATGTGCCCCCAGGCAGTGCGTACACGAACCTGCCCCACAACGTTATTAGTAATATATTTCAAAATTTCTTTTTGAAAAAATGACACTTTTTCAACAAACAAGTTTGCAGCAGTTCCGTGAATAGAGTGGGCTTCTTCACCCCCAATTTTGAAAAGCTGAACCACATTTCCGAGTCAGGATCACGAAAATGGATGATACTAGGGTGACCCGCGTGCTCCGCAACGCGAAAAGGGATATTTTCGATCGGCGGGTGTTCGGTTGTTCTTGTGTCGGTTGGGTTATCTATTCATTTCGGTCGATTGCTTTTTGACGGCTAAACGTTTTGGTTTGTGGAAAAAATATCCACCGCATCGAGGTGCCCGTGTCTGATAAGCATGCTTTCCACTTCAGAATCTGTCAAATGTGCTTTATAATTGAGGTGCGTAGTTTTAAGACAAATGAAAGGCGTAGATAATTTTCGCTAAAAATCGTTTTGCAGAGGTTTAAAACATTTATATTTTTAAGAATACTGTTGCTTGTCATGCAAACGTGATGATTGGATCTTGGAGAGAATTGAATGCTCTTTCTAATGATAGCATTTTCAATTATCAAGCGTATCAGGTTAAGCAGCAAATCCCGTGTATCTTTTTAGTGGCACATTATGGACAAATACCATTTTAATTCAGCGATTTTTCCACATTGTTTTTGATCAATTAGCTGTCCACAATTTTTCCATGAGAGGCGGTACATTTCTCTTGGCAATTGACGTTGTTTCAACTCTCTCAGTCTGATGGTCACGGGAAAATAAAATAAAATCCAAAATCCGTTTGAAATGGCACTTTTTGAAATGAAATTGCCCTCACACTTGCACGTGGCGCGTGCCACCCCTGCACCGCACACTATTCGATTGCCCGTTCGATTCTCTACACGATGCTGTTTTCCCCGTGCCGATCGGGCGCACGGCTACCGAGATATTGCACGGGGAACGGACCCGTGTCGGGCAAATTTAGCCATTTTCGCCCGTTTTTGCCAGCCGATTTATACATGTAAAGTCTATGACGCGAATTTGCACTTTTTGGGCACGCGCCACGCGCTCGCTATCGATCCGATCGAGCCGAGACCGCTCAAAGGCACGTTGTCCATCCTTGTTCTATAACTTGCGCAAATTTCAGCGCGGTAGGTGCAACGGTGTGACCTGTAACCCGCGCTACGTAGCACCATGTCGCGACCTTCGTAATAGACAGAAACTACGCCTTCCTCAAATAGTAATATAGACAAGCGGCTGCGCCACTTGCTTTGCTGCGTGGTAGGAAGAAATTGCGGCACCAGCCAATTTGCTTTCGAATGGTGTTTGATTTACTTCGATGTGTCGTCTAGAAGCAGAGATATGGACGGAAATGTGAAGAGAATTTAAAAAAGAACTGTTCTGAGGGCTTTGTTGGATGAAATTTGGCTGGTACGGGGTCAAGACGGGTCAAAGGGGTCAGCCCCGGTCCGGTCACTTTGGGTCAGGCCAGGTCACATAGGTCACCTCTCGTCCGATGGAATCAGCCTGGGCCACTGCTCTACTTTTGCCTCCACCACTACCCCTACCCCTACCACTACCCTTACCCCTACCACTACCCCTACCCCTACTCCTACCCCTACCACTACCCCTACCACTACCCCTACCACTACATCTACCCCTACCCCTACCACTACTACTACCCATACTCCTACCCCTACCACTACCCCTACCACTACCCCTACCACTACCTCTACTACTACCCCTACCACTACCCCTACTACTACCCCTAATACTACCCCTACCACTACCACTACACCTACCCCTATCACTACTCCTACCACTACCCCTACCACTACCCCCACCACTACCCCTACCACTACATCTACCCCTACCCCTACCCCTACCACTACTACTACTACTACCCATACTCCTACCCCTACCCCTACCCCTACTACTACACCCACCACTACCCCTACTACTACCCCTACTACTACCCCTAATACTACCCCTACCACTACCACTACACTTACCCCTATCACTACTCCTACCACTACCCCTACCACTACCCCCACCACTACCCCTACCACTACATCTACCCCTACCCCTACCCCTACCACTACTACTACTACTACCATACTCCTACCCCTACCACTACCCCTACTACTACCCCCACCACTACCCCTACTACTACCCCTACTACTACCCCTACTACCACTACACCTACCCCTACCACTACTCCTACCACTACCACTACCCCTACCCCTACCTCCTATCACTACCACTACCCCTACCACTACCACTACCACTACCTACCACTGGGTCATGTCAGGTCGCATAATAATTGGATCCAATAAATATTCTTTTTTATCAGACTTAAAAAGTTCTTCTAGCCCTGCTTCTATTCGTGCCATTCCATTAACATTAATCGATTTTGTCGGAAATGGCGCCTTGTGACAAAAGTGGCGCATTGCGGCAAACTCGGCGCATTTCTACCCGGTGATTGAGCATGCATCTTTGCACCAAATTTCACCCATATCGGACCATATTTGACAAAACCGTGCGATTTGGGACGAAGATGGAGCATTGGGACAAATTATGGAGCCTTGGGAGCCTTGGGACCTTGGGACCCCTACCAATACCGCTGGGTCATGTCAGGTCACTGACGAATGATCCAATAAGTAGGTATTAAAAAATTATACATTAAAAGTGTTCCTAGCCCTGTTCCTATTCGTGCAATTCCATTACCTTTAATTGATTTTGTCGGAAATGGCGCATTGAGACAAATGTGGCGCATTGCGGTAAACGCGGCGCATCTGCACCTGTTGTTTAAGGATGCATCCTTGCACCAAACTTCACCTAAATCAGGCCTTATTTAACAAAACTGGGCGATTTGCGGCAAAAATGACTCCTTGTGACCAATGTGACGCCTTGCGGCAAACGCGGTGCATTTTTATACTTGTATCAGAAACTGCTCCCATTGAAAGAAAATCAGCACATTCTCTCGCCACTTTTTATTCAAATTAAAAACTTGCCCATCCGCCAATGCGAGGCACCCGCCACCGATCGGCATGCATTTAGTCCACAAAGTTTGTCGACCCCGGCTCTCAATGAAGATATAAGAACCGATCAAAATTTCATTGGCGTTCTTCCAGCGCGCCCCACGCGCGAACCGTGCACCCCAGCGAGTCGGAACCTAGAAAAGGCGCTGACCCGTTCTGTCACCTAGAAGGTGTGCAAATTTCAACCACCTACGCCGTACCGTCTGCCCTGTAGGCGAGGTTACTTGAACCCACTACACGATGTGCGGACACACAGACTCACAGACTCACAGACAGACGGATTCTGTTTGAATAGTAAGTTAGACAAGCGGCTGCGCCACTTGCTTTGCTGCGTGGTAGGAAAAAATTGCGGCACCAGCCAATTTGCTTTCGAATGGTGTTTGATTCATGTCGATGTGTCGTCTAGAAGCATGGATATGGACGGAAATGTGAAGAGAATTTAAAAAAAGAACTGTTCTGAGGGCGTTGTTGGATGAAATTTGGGTGATACGGGGTCAAGACGGGTCAGCCCCGGTCGCTTTGGGTCAGGCCAGGTCACATAGGTCACCTCTCGTCCGCTGGGATCAGCCCGGGCCACTGTTCTACTTTTGCCTCCACCACTACCCCTACCCCTACCACTACCACTACCACTACCACTACCACTACCCCTACCACTACCACTGCTCCTACCCCTACCCCTACCCCTACCACTACATCTACCCCTACCCCTACCACTACTACTACCCATACTCCTACCCCTACCACTACCCCTACCACTACCCCTACCACTACCCCTACCACTACCCCTACTACTACCCCTACTACTACCCCTACCCCTACTACTACTCCTACCACTACCCCTACCCCTACCCCTACCACTACACTACCCCTACCACTACCCCTACCACTACCCCTACTACTACCCCTACTACTACCCCTACCCCTACTACTACTCCTACCACTACCCCTACCCCTACCCCTAGCACTACACTACCCCTACCCCTACCCTACCAACACCGCCGGGTCATGTCAGGTCACAGAATAATTGGATCCAATGAGTACTAAAATATCAGACTTAAAGTGTTCCCAGCCCTGCTCTTATTCGTGCCATTCCACAACGCCGAATCGTATTTGTCGGAAATGGCGCATTGTGACAAATGTGGGGCATTGCGGCAAACGCGGCGCATTTTCACCCGGTGATTGAGCATGCATCTTTGCACCAAATTGCACCTTTATCAGACCATATTTGACAAAACTGTGCGATTTGCGGCAAAAATGACGCCTTGTGACCAATGTGACGCCTCGCGGCAAACGCGGTGCATTTGTAAATTCCATCACAAACTGTACCCATTTAGCGACAGTCAACACATTTTTTCGCCACTTTTTATTCAAATTAATAACTTGCCGATCCGCCAATGCGAGGCACTCGCCACCGATCGGCATGCATTTAGTCCACAAAGTTTGTCGACCCCGGCTCTCAATGAAGATATAAGAACCGATCAAAATTTCATTGGCGTTCTTCCAGCGCGCGCCACGCGCCAACCGTGCACCCCAGCGAGTCGGAACCTAGAAAAGGCGCTGACCCGTTCTGTCACCTATGAGGTGTGCAAATTTGATCCTCCTACGCCGTACCGTCTGCCCTGTAGCCGTAACAAATTGAACCCGCTACACGATGTGCGGACACACAAACTCACAGACAGACGGATTCTGTTAGAATAGTAAGTTAGACAAGCGGCTGCGCCACTTGCTTCGCGGCGTAGCCATAAAAGACGCAGCAGCCAGTTTGCTTTTGAATTCATACCGATGAGCCGTCTGGAAGCAGATATATAAATGAATATTCTGATGGCTTAGTTTGATAAAATTTGGGTCATACGGGGTCAAGTCAGGTCAAGTCTGTCATCCCTGGTCACACTGGGTCAGGCCAGGTCACCTTCGGTCAGGCCAGGTCGTATAGGTCACCACGTCACATTGGATCGGCCCGTGCCACACTTCTACTAATTCTACCCATACCACTACTCCTACCACTACCCCTTCCACTACCCCTACCCCTACCACTACCCCTACCACTACCCCCTACCACTACTCCTACCACTACCCCTACCACTACTCCCAACACTACCCCTACCACTACCCCTACCCCTACTACTACCACTACCCTACTACTACCCCTACCACTACCCCTACCACTACCCCTACTACTACCCCTAACACTACCCCTACCACTACCCTTACCCCTAATACTACCACTACCCCTACCGCTACTCCTACCAATACTACTACCACTACACCTACCACTACCACTGGGTCATCTGAGGTCACAGACTATCAGATAAACTGATAAACTAAAAAGTGTTCCTAGCCTTGCTCCTAATCTTGTCGCTCCACTATTCTTGATCATATTTGGTGGAAATGTCGCTTTGTGACAAATGTGGCGCATTACGACAAAATTGGTGCATTTTTAATTGTCGTTTTGTCATGCATCCTTCCACCGAATTGCACGTTTGTCGGACCATATTTGACAAAGTTGTGCGATTTGCGACAAAAATGGCACATCGTGACAAATGTGGCGCGTTGCGGCAAACGCGGTGCATTCGGTTAAGCGCATTGAAACTGTCTTTATTTACCGAAAATCAACAACTTCATTCGCATCTGTTTATCAAAATAAATAAGATGTCAATCCGCAAATGAGAGGCACCCGCCGCCGCTTGCCATGCATTTTAGTTGCAAAGCTCATCGAACCCGGCTGCCGATGCCTTGAAGACCGAGCAAATTTGTGAGGAAATACGCCTTTTTCCAGGGCGTGCCACGTGCGAACCATCCACCCCCGGGACTCGAAACCCGACACTGCACGTGCCCGTGACGTCATCAACATCGTGTGCAAATTTCAGCCCAATCGACCGCACCGTTTGACCTGTGCACGGCGTCAAAGCACCCCTCTGCACGGTGCAAACAGACAGACAGAGTTTCATTCTACAAATAGTATAGTAGACAAGCGGCTGCGCCACTTGCTTCGCGGCGTAGCCAGAAAATGCGGCACCAGCCAATTTGCTTTCGAATGGTGTTTGATTTAAATTGATCTGTCGTCTGGAAGCAGAGATATGGACGGAAACGTGAAGAGGAAAATTTTGAACATACCTATTCTGAGGGTTTAGTTGGATGAAATTTGGGTCATGCGGGGTCAAGTCAGGTCAAGTTGGCCATCTCTGGTCACACTGGGTCAGGCCAGGTCACCTTCGGCCAGGCCAGGTCGTATAGGTCACCACGTCACATTGGATCGGCCTGCACCACACTTCTACTACTTCTACCCATACAACTACTCCTACCCCTACCACTACCCCTACCCCTACCCCTATCCCTACTCCTACCACTACCCCTACCACTACCCCTACCACTACCCCTACCACTACCCCTACCACTACCACTACTACTGCCCCTACTACTACCCCTACCACTACCCCTACTACTACCCCTAACCCTACCCCTACCCCTATCCCTACCACTACTGCACCTATCACTACCCCTACCACTACCCCTACCACTATCCCTACTACTACCCCTAACACTGCCCCTACCACTACCCCTAATACTATCACTACCCCTACCGCTACTCCTATTAATACTCCTACCACTACACTACCACCACTACCACTGGGTCATGTGAGGTCACAGATTATCATATAAAGTATAAACTGATGAACTAAAAAAAGAGTTCCTAAACGTGCTCCTACTCGTGTAATTCCATTATTCTTAATCATATTTGGTGGAAATAGCGCCTTGTGACAAATGTGGCGCATTGCGACAAAAGTGGTGCATTTGTACTTGTCGTTTTGTCATGCATCCTTCCACCGAATTGCACCTTTATCGGACCATATTTGACAAAGTTGTGCGATTTGCGGTAAAAATGGCACCTCGTGACAAATGTGGCGCACTACGGCAAACGCGGTGCATTTGTGTGAGCGCATTGAAAACTGTCGTTATTTACCGAATAGCAACACCTTCATACGCCTCCGTTTATCAAAATAAATAGTTTGCCAATCTGCAAATGAGAGGCACCCGCCGCCGATCGTCATGCATTTTAGTTGCAAAGTCCATCAAACCCGGCTGCCGATGCCTTGAAGACTGAGCAAATTTGAGAGGAAATACGCACTTTTCCAGGGCGTGCCACGTGCGAACCATCCACCCCCCGGGACTCGCATCTCGACACTGCACGTGCCCGTGACGTCATCAACACCCTGCGAAAATTTCAGTCCAATCGACCGCACCGTTTGACCTGCGCACGGCGTCAAAGCACCCCTCTGCACGGTGCAAACAGACGGACAGACAGAGTTTCATTTCACAAATAGTATAGTAGATGAGAAAAGTTTGGAAAGCTCACGAATATTACAAATTTGCGTTTTTATCAAGCATGACAGCAGGTACAGTGTTGTCTTCTACGGTGAACGAAGGGCGGCAATGATAGACATATTTCCATAATTTACCTTGAGCTCGTGCAGTCACTCGTGTTCCCATAAACTGCTGAAAACGAATGTGCCCCATGCACGAATGTGCCCCACTCTCCCCTATCCTTGCACGTTTAAAGATTGCGGATACGATACAATACGGCTCTTGGTAGGTATAACAAGGCTGGTGGGTAAACGAGCGGCATGATACACCCGCACACTGTCCGCACTCCCGCTCATCTCATCGCTAACAGCAGCTCCTCATGGCAGGTGGCAGCACTGCCGATCAGCTGACTGACCTGGGGCCGTATTCACGTCGACTTCGTAAGTCGATTTTCTTTCGTAAGTATAATTTGGTATTCACGTCGACACTTCTTAAGTTTTTATCGATGGAGTTCACGTGATTAAAAAAATTTACTTAAGAAGTAGGTCAAACTTAAGAAAATTCTTACGAAAAAGATCGACGTGAATACGGCCCCTGCTGTCAGGCAACCCTGCCCAAGTGTCCCAGCACCCCACCGACTACCTGACAGACCTGCTGGCCCTTAGGATCACTGGCGACCACCCGATTCACCTCACTGACCTCCTGAACATCTGACCTGATTGGCCTGGCTGCATCGCTAACTAGCTGACTGACCAGCAGCAAAAGTGACCAGCGCATGACCAGACTGACCCTGTACACGACGATGAATTGGGGTTTTGGGGCTGACCTGTACTGACTGTACACAGTCACTGACCTGTACACAGCACTGGCAAGTCACCTGACTGGTACGATTGCAGCAGTCACGGGTCAATACCTGACCGGACTGGCCTGTTCTCAGCACTGCTGACCGCCAGACTGACCCCAGCAGCACTGCTGACCATTCCACTGACCTCAGCAGCTGGCCACCCAACTGACCCGCTGACAGCACTGCTGACCGCCAGACTGACCTGTAAGCGGCACTGCTGACCACCCCACTGACCTCAGCAGCTGGCCACCCAACTGACCTGTTGGCAGCACTGCTGACCACCCCAATCTGACCCCAGCAGCCGGCCACCCAACTGACCTGTTGGCAGCACTGCTGCACGTCGGTGGTGGTCTCCCGCAGCTGGCTGTTGATGCCCTCCAGTTGGAGCACCAGCTGCGCGTATCGCCGCTGAAACTCGTCCGTCAGCGGCTGGCCATACAGCTGGGCGCGCTCAGCCTCAGAGTTCATCGACTCCAGCCGACTGACGCGCTCACGCTTCACCAGGAGGATCTTGTTGAGCCGCACCTGAGTAGTGGCACGGGGGAAGGGGAGGGGGCGTGGTTAGTTAGGGGCGGGCACAGACGAAATGACAGCATGGGAACATGTAGGAGACCAGACAGCAAAGGAACGGAACGGAGATGAGGAGAAGGGGAAGGGACAAGACGGCAGGGAAAAGAGGAACAAGGACGAGACAGACTGAGGCTTGACGGGGAGACGGGGACGACACTAGACGGGCAGGGCGAAATAAAATATAACCCTCGTTAGAAGGCAGCAGGGCACATTTCTGTTTTGTGACGCGAGACGGATAGCATACTTAGTACTTACTTAGCACGTCGGCACAGAGACGCATCATAAAACGAATTCGAAAGATGCCGAGCTGGCAGGTCACAGATGGACAGCTGCAGCTGACATACTAGTCACATAACACATCGTTTCCAGCATAAATGAAATGCCCTGATTGATAGAGCTGGTCGTTCACTGGTCCGCAATAGCATGGTCGTCCATGCCCTCCAGAGTAGAGCATATGCTCTGCTTCCCAATCGCACTCACCACATGCAAGAGAAACTTGATGGAGTATCCGTTAACGACTCCGGTCTGGTCGAGCAGGCGCAGCTCCGACTTTGCCGGGGTGCCAGCCGACATGAGCGGGTCGTTGGCCAGCGGTGAGCGCAGCTCGGGCAGACTGAAGCGGGGCGGCGTGTTGAACAGGGACGGCCTGGCCGAGCCGGCGCGCGCGAAGCTGGCCGTGGGCACGGTGTCGACTGGCTCGATGGCGCGCACCTCGTAGTCGGGTACCGACTGGGTCTCCAGGCCGGGCTTGTCGAACGAGACGCGGTACTGGGCGTTGGCGCCGTCCAGTGCCTGGATCACACCTGTCGACAGGCGAGGGAGGGCGGCATGTCAGAGACCCAGCCCACCGTCACACGGACAGCTCTCGATTTGCGAAACAAACAGTGAAACCCGGATGTACATTTCTCCCTATATCATGGTATGGCATATTGTACACCATGACAAAAAATCACATTTAGCCCCGAGATCACTTCAGACACCATCCATGTCGTCTGTTCCCGTTCTTCCTTGTCCTCCCCGCCCCGTCCACCACACCCTACCGAGCAGCTCGGCCGCCTCTCTCACCTGTGAAGAGGCCGTCCTGCGGGTGACGCAGCCGGGCCGTCACCCGCGTGCCGATGCTCAGCTGCACGGGCACCTCGTCGGGCATGTTCTTGAAGAAGGACCGGTCGTAGGAGCGCCTTTGCTGGCTCTGCATGTAGCGCACCTTCTGTCGCAGCAGCTCCAGCACATTGCGCTCCTCGGTGAAAAATGACTGACGATCGCACGGGACAGCGGTTAGTGTGCCTCCTCCACCCAGTTACAGGGCACAGGGCGCACAGGGAAACGGTCAGTAAGACACATCCATACACTCAATTTAACATGAGAAAACTTGTAAATTAATGGATTAAAACATAGTCTAAACTCTAAACAGCAACCCTTTCAGCTTAGCATGAAAAGTTCGTCTCATGCCAATATATTTAGTCATAAAATTGTCAATCAGGTACTTACCGGTGAACACCTCCGTGGTTTTCCCATCTGGCGCCGAATTTTACACCATTCGGTTCGGGTGAGTTGAGTGGTTTTCAGTTTAGGGAACTGCTCCTTCAAACATATTAAAAAATCGTTGCTGCCAGAAAACAGGCATCTGGAAAAAGAATGCATCTTATCAGTATGAATACCACGGGACTAGCATCCCAAAATCACCATTCACGCTTTACATATTATCTGTGCGATTGCCATCACTTTTCCAACAACATATCTTGTTATAAATCTAGCCCATACGTTTGAATGGACGGATTAAGAGAACCAAAGACCACGCTAAGCAGAGCCTGTTACCCAGGCCCCGACCTTCTACCGTCCGAGGGGAATTCGGGGTATCGGGGGAAACATGCAAAAGTTTAAAAAGCCATCCAGCCGGACACAGTCTGACTCACCTGCGCAATCATCCCCTCCCCATCGGAGTTTGTATGTATTCAGCTCGACGATACGGGTCGACTGATATGCAACATGACCCTTTCCGGTCAGGTCCTGACCTTGACCTGAGGTCAATTTTTTTAAAATGACCTTTCAAGGTTAACAAATAGTTCATTCGACGCGTCTCGACGACAGGAACACGATGCTGCCAAAAGTAATGTCGTGGCTCTCTTGAGTCAAAAGTAAATGACGAAAAAAAATCGTGAAAACTTCGATTTTCACAGTTTTTGCCCTCTGGAGGCTAAACCGTTGACCTGAGGTCAAATCTGAGAACAATACTCAGAAAGGTCTGTAAAAGGACTATCGAATGCGCTTTTCCGCGGCGCTGTAGCTCTATTGGTTCCCGAGTTAGCCGTTGGCAGTTTCAAAATTGTTGAAATGGTCAATGGACTACATTTGACCTTTAATGACCTCTGGCGACCTGACCTTTGACCTGACCCAAAAATGACCGAAGTGTTTCCGTCATTATTTTTGACCCTCTTTCGAATGCCGCTTACCGCGTGTCGCTACGTGGCCCAGGAGCCGAGTTAGACGGGGGGGGGGTGTTCAGACCCCCCCCCCCCGGCGCGGCAGTCGCGGAGCACCGGCACGGCGCGGGTTAAGGGTCGAAATGGCCGAGATATTGCATTACCGCTACCTTACTGGCCTGTCTATCCAAGATCGGAAAAAGCTATTAGGGCGATGATTTACCGTGGATGACATGTCAGTTTTAAATATTGTAAGTTCTTCCATTAAAAAAAGCAAACAAGGTCAATACTTACTCATCGATTGTGCTGTAGAACCACTCGTAACAGACGAACTTGTGTGCCTTGGGCAGTTTCAGCAGGTTACGGAGCCGCAGGCCGAGTGCGTGCGCCTCGCGCTGCCGGTTTATGGTCACCCTGCCGGCCTCCAGAGCGGGGACGGCCGGCGCGACCGTCCGTGGCAGGATCGGAGTCGGAGCCGGAGCCGGAGCCGGAGCGGGCGCCGGGGCGGCGGCCGGCGAGCTGCTCATCTTGTGCAGCTGAGCCGCCGCCGCCACAGCAGCCGCCCGCGTCGGCGTCTTCTTGGGCGTAGTGACGACGGCCCGCACCGGGGAGGCGGCAGCGGCGCCACGGAGCGGCGTCAGCCGACCGCGCACTGGCGTGGTGGGCTCGGCCGCCCGCTCCCGCGGCGGCGCCGGAGACTTTTTCGGCGATGCTCGCACCGCTGGGCCGCTCACGTGATCGTCATCAAAGTATAGACGGTTCTTTTTCCGTATCCGCTGAGGCTGGAAAGCAGCCAGATTAATTAATTTGCAAGAAAATTAAAAAAGGCAAACAATAGCTGTATATAGTAGAACATGGCAAAACTCCAACAAAGCAATCTTTCCTAAATAGGATGATCAATATTGGTGTAGTAATTTCAAAACATGATAAAATTGGTTAACTAAATTATGCCAAAATATATCCTTGACAGTTATGGCAATGAGTGTTAAAATTTAATTACTAGGTACTAGGTACTAGGTAGTCAAATAATTAATAGATAATGAAATTGGTCAAAACAAAAGGAGCCTTTCCAATCTCAATAAAATAATTAACTTACTGTACCCCTCCTATTATATAGGAGTGGAGTGGATCTCTTTTCTGGTGTTTGTCTTGGACTAGCTCCATTCTTTCCAGCTGGTTGAAGCCCAAGTGCTGAGAGAAAGCCTGGCCGGCTATCATTTGAGTTCTCATTCTCAAAGTCTTCAGTTTGAAGATTTTCACCATTTTCAATGTCAAGAGGATCCATGTCAGAAGAGACTACAGTGTCACTTGTATCCTTTGTCCCATAAAATCCACCATTCTTGATGGTTAGTAAAGCCTGGGCAGATTCACCTGAAAATGAAAAATAATTACACAATTTATGGAATGTACACTCAAGAACCAAAAATGAACAGGAACAAATGAGCAAATACTGGCTGATAAAAAGTTCTGATTTTAAATTTTATTATCATTACAACCACTGATAAAGCAATTAATATCACCTACTTGACTAGCACCTTATGTCAAAAAGTCAATTCATATAAAAACATTTTTGAGTTAGTCAATCAATAAAAATAATACACATGACACTTCACTATTAATTGTTAAATGTTAAATCAATATTGATCCAATGGGTAATATAATATGTGAAATGAAAGAAAGGAGCTTAAACTGGCATTGAGCAAAATATTATTACTAATAGTATTGATTTCATTGTGAATGCAAGTAGGTACCTAACTACCTAATTGGCAGGCCAATCTGCAAATGATCTGAGATTGTGCATAAACATAAAGAACATTGATATGTTAAACATTGTTTAGTTTGATTTGTAAGAAAAATATTTGAAAAGAAAGGAGAGAGAGAGAGAGATAGCAATCTCAGTAAGCCATTCAAAATGCAAGAGAAATAGAATAACTAGAGATAAAATTTGCTAAAATTCATTAGTCCTCAGGATAAAAACCACCCAGATATTGGATAAGTGCCTAACTAATTTAAAAATAGTGATTCAATTGAAAGCACTCTACCAGAGTCAGCCGTGAGCATTCAACGGCATTACAGGATAATTCCCCAGCTCTTTCACCACCAACAACAGAATATTGTTCCCTTTGTTCAGAGAAAATGATGGTAATATGGTTATAGAGATATAATCCAATTTTCCTGAACATGACCATGTTAAATTCAAATCAAATTTAATGCATTCAGGCGAGCCATATATGCCACAAAAACCATGCGAAATAATTCAAGTCTAGCGGTCGAAAATAACTGCTTAAGGTACGGAAACGAATGCTCATTGCATGAATACAATAAAAACGAAACAATTAAAGCAATATAACATAATTACAGGTCAAAATACGCATTTGAAAGCCCGTCCCCCACATTTACTTTCAAGCGAATCCGCCATGTTGACAAATGTGTTGACTAACTTTTCACTCTTCTTATATATTTACTATGAATTGGTTCATAGATAGGATAAAAAATTTCATTTTCGCTACATTAATTATTTCAGTTTTCATAAATACCTTTCATTGCTCAAAACATTTTCTGAGAAAATGTCATCACTATCGTACGAAACCGCGCAAATCTTCAGCTGACTCGTTAGAATCAACCACTAAAACAAAATTCCAAAGAAGTCATAATATTCAGTAAAATTAGGACATTTGACATTTTGAACATCTTTTTAATCAAAGCATTATCACCGACAAAAACACTAGAATTATTAGGAGTTTGTCGATTTCTTATTCGAATATAGGTACACGTTTCGTAGTCAGGGGTGGATTTTTATATTAAGTTGGGGTTGCACGTGCAACCCCAACTTTGAATTTTGCAACCCCAACATCGGTTTGTGCAACCCCAACTTTACAACTGAAATAAATCGGCGGGCGCCTCGAATGGTGCCGCCCCCATAACCCTGAGCCATCACAAAACTCTATGCCACCCGTTGACTTGGCACCATCTTTCAAAAGAGCCCTCCCCATCATGAAGCAATAGTCACCCCTCAACTATCTATTGTAGTTGCCGCCTCCTCAGACCTCAAATGTAGGTGCCGCTCCCTCGAATGTAGGTGCCGCCCCCTCGAATGCAAGTGCCGCCCCTCGAATGTAGGTGCCGCCCCCTCAAACGTAAGTGCCGCCCCCTCCAATGTAGGTGCCGCCCCCTCGAATGTAGGCGCCGCCCATTAAATGTAGGCGCCACCCCCTCGAATGTAGGTGCCACCCCCTCGAATGTTGGTGCCGCCCCTCAAATGTACCTAAATGCCGCCCCTCGAATGTAGGTGCCGCCCCCTCGAATGTAAGTGCCGCCCCCTCAAATGTTAGTGCCGCCCCCTCCCTCGAATGTAGATTCCGGCCCTCCTCGAATGTAAGTGCCGCCCCCTCGAATGTAGGTGCCGCCCCCTCGAATGTTGGTGCGAGAATGTGGGTGCCGCCCCCTCATATGTAAATGTCATCCCTCGAATGTAGGCGCTGTCTCCTCGAATGTAGGTGCCGCCCCCTCAAATGTTAGTGCCGCCCCCTCGAATGTAGGTGCCGGCCCTCCTCGAATGCAGGTGCCGCCCCCTCGAATGTAGGTGCTGGCCCTCCTCGAATGTAGGTGCCGCCCCCTCGAATTTAGGTGCCGCCCCCTCGAATGAAGGTGCCGCGCCGCCCCCTCAAATGTCGGCCCCGGCCACTTATGCATAGGTGTCATCGGTCATCCCATAAAATGTAGGTGCCGTCCCTTCGAATGTAGATGGCACCCCCTAGGGTGTAGCTGCCGCCCCCTAAGGCCTAGTTGCAGTGCAGCCCCCTCAAATGTAGGTGCCACCCCCTAAGTGTAGGTGCCACCCCTTGAAAGGGGTGCCTTTCCCTCACATGTAGATAGATGCCGCCCCCCCCATGCGTGGGTGCCGCCCCTCAAGTTTGTGTGCCGTCCCTCAAGTTAGGGTGCTGCCCATAAAATGTAGGTGCCGCCCCCTCTAAGTGTAGGCGCTGCCGCCTCAAGTGCAAATGCCATCGCCGCCCCCTCTAATGTAGGTACAGTGGATCTAGTAAGGATCTCCAGACGTTACTAGATGGCGTTGAGCCTAAGTCGAGTCCATGTCAGATTCAAGGGGAGGTCAGTACCGAGCTGGGCCCGATGCGGGTGGGCGGGGGGGGGGGGGGTGGTTGGCGAGGTCACGGTGCGGGTGACCTGTCAAACAGCCCCGGCGCGGTGGGGCACTGCCGCAGGCAAATGGCGCACTCCAGTGTTGTTCCATATCGCGGTGGTGGGCCGGGCGGCCGGTTAGCTTGGCTGCTTGGAAGGAAAGGATAATGAGGCATGGGTTTGCTGTGGCCGGTTCATCTACTGTCAACTATGATGAACCCAAAGTAATGCAAATGTGATGTTGGTAATGCAGCTGGCAATGGAATGATAGCGAATGCTCCGAGCGCCCGGTAGCTGTAAGGATTAAGATTATTTATGTCTCCTGAAATTTTCATTGAACATGATTCAAGCACAAGAAATATCATATCGTTCTCCAGTTTTTTGACAGGCTGGCGTTTCTTGCGTAGAGCGCCCTTGGGCAAATAATTATCACGCAGGTCATTTTTTTGCTGGTAAGAACTAAGATCTAAGGTCAAATCAAGTCGCTGAGAGAAGATAAGGAAGAACGGACGAATGTCACTTTTTTGTGCTTAGTCTTGATTTAAAAAAGCTTAAAGTTATTATACGTGTAAGCTAAAAAACAATAAGATCAGTTAATAAAAATATTTGACCCGAAATTGGTCTCTGTTTTCTCTGACCATGATTGCGTGTAAGACACAGGTCCAACCGGGCTCAACCCGACCCAACCTGGTTCGGCTCCCCCTTTTTTAATATGAATTTTGCCCGAACCTTTTGAATGAAAGGAATCACAAGGACAAAGTCCCCGCTAATCAGAGCTTGTTGCGTTGACCCTTCCCTCAACCCTCCGATCAAGCAATTCCTGGTCTATGGCAGAATTTAAGTCCAAATTTCAACGTGCGCACGTAATCGCGCACGGCCGGTCCCCTCACTGACTTCGCCTGGCAGCGGCCTGCCACCAACCACAACCATACCCGTCAGGAGCTCAAAAACGTCAAGCACACGTCGCGTTTCGAACCCGGACTTTTACAACCGGGACGTGCGCTCTCGCCACCCGGAGTCCAACGCGCTACCGACCGAGCTACCGGGACGAACATTTACCTCGGGGTTTTGCCTCGTGACATTGACAGACGCCAGACACTTTGGCCGAACTTTAGCCGTAGCACTGAGCAAGCTGCGCAGGGCGATAGGTGCTCGTATGAGTCGTAGCGTTTAGGTTGGGTAACCTGAGCTGAACGCGATGTCGTGAGTTCGAGCCCCACTCCCGGGTCTGGTTTTATCTAGACACGAACCAAAACCTTTCCTTCTACTGCAACACAGACAAGCACGATGACATGTTTCGCGAATATCTTTCCCCAATAACCTTTTAAAAAAGTCAAAATTATGGCTTATAAATGTTTAGCTAAGTTTCATTTTAAGAGAATTTTTTTTCTTTGATCATTTTTCTGGAGCAATTTCAACTTTTTTTCTTTTCGGATTCTTTTCGACCCGATAAAACCCACCAAAACTGAGCGTGTCAAATAAAAAAAAATACCCAACTCAAATAACCGTTTAGAAAACTCTAAGACACCATGCAACTATCGACTAAATAGTTGCATGCTATTAATACGTCCTAGATTTCAATTATCATTGTTCAAGATTTTGGCTGGAACTGGCGCTGCCTCTCGCTTGCCCGTTTGTTTGAGATAATGATTCCCTTCAGTCGCATTCTTGCTGGTTCCCCATGAACAGGATACCACCATACCGGAGTGAACGCACCCGCAACCATCAGCCTCTCCCCTCAGCCTCTGCGCAGTGGCGGGCGGCCCTGGGCGCCGGGCGGCCCACTCCCGGCGCTACGCACGCCCCATGCGCCGTGATACCGCGTCCCCCCCCCCTCCCTCCTTCCCCACACTGACCGGTGACCTCACTTCCCTCGGGATTTGGACTCGCCCTACCCCGACCGTAGCGCCACGTGGTGGCTCTGGAGATCTTAAATAGACCCACTGTACAGCCCACCGCTAAAGTAATGTGTGGTTTAACCAATCTCAATGGATGGCTTTGACTGTCGATTTTTTAATGCGGAGTGATCGAAAAGAAGACGTCAATAGATAAAGTTGCAGCTGCAAGGACAACGATACAGGCTAGCTACATTCAAAGTTTCATGGTGGTCTGGCTAATCATTCCTAAGCTTCAGAAGCAGAACATACCCAGGACTGAAACCGCACATTACTTATGCTGTGGACTGTACTACCCTCCTCTCAAGAGCTTGAGCTGTCACAAGGCCGTATAGAGCTGTCGGACATGCAAAAATGACCAGTTAAAAAATCGTGGATTTCGATTCCTGGTGCGCCGCTCACCGCTCAGTGGGGGGTGGGGGTGGTGCCCAGTGGAGGTCGCAGGGGGCATCAGGGCCATGGCCCCCCAAAGACAAATCAGGGGCCATCATATAATTTGCCCCCTTAAACAACCGATGGGCCTCGATGGGCGTAGGGGCCCTGGCTCTTACCCGATTGTCACGAGGCTCAAGAAACCAACGCCAGGTATTATGTAACAGCCCTCATACCGGTCTTTGAGTTTCCTGACTTCTGAGGGCGCTTCAGTGGCCTTCAAGGGCCCACATCGACCTCTCAGGGCCCTCCACTGGCCCTAAAGCGGCATCAGGAGTCCCCCAACCGGCCTTTGAGGGCCCCACACTGATCTCTTGATGGCCTCATTTCTGTCTCTGGGGTTCAGGACTGACCTTTGGGTGCCGGTCACTAAGAGCCCACATCGACCTCTGTGGGCCTCAAACTGGCCTTTGAGGGCCCTGTACTGGTCTCGAGCGCTCCCAAGTAGACCCAAACTGGTCTCTGGGGGTTCACGCCTCTAATGGCCTCATTTCTTTTTCTGGGGGCCCAAGACTGGCCTTTGGGTGTCCCCGAGGGCCGTACTGACTTCTGAAGGCCCGATGCCGGTCTCTAAGGGTCCACATCGGCCTCTGAGGGCCCTATGCTGACCTCTGGGGTCCAACACCGACCCCTGCTGGTCAGCGGTCAGCGGCTGGGGTCAGCGGGCGCGGTTGGAATGTGGACCAGTCTTGTTCGAGACACAATGCAAGCGGGAGCCCTACTGTCGCTTAT